CGCGGGAGGCGCGAGCAGCGGGAGGGCTCGCGGGAGGCGCGAGCAGCGGGAAGGCTCGCGGGAGGCACGAGCAGCGACAGCGACAGCGAGCGACGAGATCGCGATTGGGATCGGGATCGGGATCGAGAGCGGCAGCGGCAGCAAGTTAGTGTTGGGTTAGGGTTAGGGTTAGGGTTGGGGTTATATCGGTTTAGTTGGTTCGATTGAACCAACTAACAACCGAACCAGACCTAAAATTCTGGTTCGGTCGCCTTGGTTTACCCAGGCGCTCGCCCGAAGCGCCCAACGCCTGGGCTCGGGCGAGCGCCCAGGCGGCGCTTGTTTGAAGCGCGCCGCCTGGGACATTAGCGAGGCGCTCGGGCCTCGCCTCGCCTCGCCCGAGCGCCTAGGCGAGCGCCCGAGCGCCTTTTGCAATCACTGTTCAGGAATTTTAAAATTGTTGATAGGCATATGAAGAATGAAAACATTGGTAAGTTCATCAGATCTATAACAAAATGTATGCAAAGATCTCATGACAGTTTCATGAAGAATTATGTAAATCCAAGTAACATCTACTTAAATGGAGACATCTTGGACTCTATTCAAGCTGGCATTGCCCAAAAGTACAGAACAGTTACTGATCTTAGTATAATCGACAATTTACAATCACTGGTTTATAAGCTTAGCTATAATGATTTTTTACTCGAGAAGTGAAGAGGCAACTACAATTTTTTTCATGGAGAAGTTTATAACGACACAATGAAATCTATAGAAGACATTAGACACAATTATTTTCTACCTTCTCTTCCATGACAATCTAAAAATTTTTCCATGCATCCAGCTACCAGTTGGATATACCACAGCAATTCGAAAGTTATGAAAGGCTAGACCCAAAGAATCCCCAAAAGATGATTAGGTTTCTTGTTACTTTAATCACATCAGCAAAGCAACGTCCAAAACTTATACACAACAGCTCATTGCTCCTTAAACACATAAATGTAGTGGGATTGAAGTCATTAGTATTAGTCTTCCTAGCTACAACAAGCATAAGCAAGCACAATTTTGCTATTAAATTATTAAATGGCATTTGTAGGTTACATTCTATTTAGATTTTTTTAACTCTATGATCCCTAGTCTTTTATGATCTTAAATCAAGTATCTTGTCCCTTCAATAGTCAAAACACATCTCAAAAGCTCTGAAGTAGAGAAAAGAAACAATCACCAAATCATGGAGATTCCATCTTTTCATTTTAAATTAATACTAATATTCCTGTAAAAAAAAATCCCACTTCATTCGCTACAGGATACAATAAAAACCCAAAATAACTTAGCTCACATCAAGGGAAATATGAGGTGGCAGCTTATATGGCATAACCTTTCTAGTAAGAATTTAGATTTTTTGTAAGCAGTGGCACTCATGATGTAATTGTTTTAAGTTGCTTGCATATAGTTAAGTAAATTTGAGTTCAGGATCTCTTCCAAATTGGACTCCAGCGAGCGTCCAAGCACCCATGGAAGTATTGCATGCATCTCAACATTATTAATCAAGATCAGTTGCAAATCTCAAACACCCACATCTTCAACAAGTGGTGATCATGCATAGGAAATGAACCATTAATGCAGGACAAACCTTAGAGCAACATAATTTTGTCTTCCAAAAACCTTAGATTCTATTGACTTTCTTCACCATGATGTGTTCAACAAACTCAACTTAGAATCGATAAGCATATTCAAGGATATGATTGCCTCTTCTTGAAATTTGGCCTTCACCAAATATTCCTACTATTTGTCATTTCTTGAGCTCACACTTCTAATATGTTTTCTCCTTTTGGGAAACGAATAACACCCTTTCTAATATGTTTTCTCCTTTTTGGGAAAAGAATAACACCCTTTTGAAACTTTGTGGGCACAACACATCCACTCTATGTTTGGTCTCTCTTCTATTTCCCTATTGACTGTTAATGCACAACATGCTGATACTAGAGTATTCACTGATCAATAGCTTTATTTGAGAAAACTCTTTATCATGAGATAGGAGGGCTACAATATTACTGAAGTCAACATTAATCAAAATCAAAACCAAATGACCTTAATGTATCTCTTTGCACTAGTTGCAGAATGGAGATTTAAATACCATCAAGAACTCACATCCAATAACAAAGTGATAAGCACTCCTATAATTCAAAAACTGAAACTAGCCAATTCAATAGTTAGAAGAAACCTCAGCTTAATCATACACATCCAGACTTGATCCAACAATAGAGTATGAGTAAACTCCCAAACATAACATCAGACTGAAATAATTCACCAGGACTCATCTAATCAACAAAAGAAAAATTACAACTCAAATGAATCACCTGAATACACTCCTCCATGAGCACGAACATTTTCAAAACCATGTAATTTTCAGGGTACATGTACTTTTTGAAAATGCAGCTTGGGGAGAACTTCATGAAGTATATGAAATTGAGAAATGGTAATATCCCACCATTAGTCACTCTCTTCTTCCAAATTCTCTTTCTGCAAGTTTTCCTAATTCGCATCTTATACCTGCCTCCTAAACATAAATCGACCATCAAATTTTCTGAAGTGGATTTTTCTTTATCAGAAATGAAATTCCACAACAAGAAATAACAGTGGTCTATGATTCTAACAGAAGCAAAGGATACACTTCAATGCTCCAAATTAACGAATTGCAGCATCTTTTCAGCTAATTCCATTTTATTAGGTTTATAAATCACAAATGAATAATACTGCCAGTCATACATCATTATTGATCACAGACTCTTATAGGATTTCAAGAAGTCTGAAATTTACTCCAATGATCTTAATAATCAGTTCATATATAGAGCTTTATTTTCTAGAGAATGGAAGAACAAGAATCTACCCGGTCAACAAGAAGTCCAATTCTTGTGGGTGCTGATGAGAGCTGAAAGGAGGCCGGCCGAAGCCATCAGCAGCGAACTCGAGAGGAACCCCTCCCCATCCCTCACGTCTCCGAGAGCCATCAGACCGTCGGCGAGGTCTTGAATGACCGAGAGTTGCTTCAACAGCAATTTCGTCCTCAATTTCCTGATCTCCTCATCGCAATCGGCTGATTTCCCGCTCTCGATTCGCGATTGGATCAAAGAGCTGATCTTTCGCAGCTCCCTAGCCTTCAAAGCGACGCTGCCAAAGTAGCCGATGAGCTCCGCCCAAGCGCTGATCTTCTGAAACCGCCGCGAAAGCTCCGCGGGTATGAGGCCTGCCTTGGAGAGCCAGACGAACTGCTCCACGAAGTAGTAAACGCCCTCCCCGCCGTAGGCGACAGCGGCGAGGAGGCGATCGGTGGGGTTGAGGGCGCCACCGGTGGCGGCGCGGAGGGCGTTGAGATCCTGGACGAACTTGCCAAGGCGGAAGGCCTTGCGGCTAAGGCCAACGCTGGATTCGAAGGCCTTAAGGCGGGGAGCGAGGGCAGGGGGTATGGGGGAAGAAGGGGCGGATAGGGCGATCTTGGCGGCGTAGCGGGAGATCTTGAGAAGCTTGTCGACACCGTCGCGGCGGGCGAGGTAGGCTTCGAGGTGGACGAGGAAGTCGCGGTCGCCGCCCCGCGGCGGGGCGACAGCCGGTGGAGGAGGAAGAGAGACGTCGGGCTTCCGCGACGGTTCCGCCATGGAAAAGGGAGAAGCGCCGCGGAGTCGGGTATCGACCGCCTCCGACTGACTCGATCCCCTCCGAGTCAAACTTGAATCACGGAAGCGCTGTAAGATGCGTGTCAATATTTACTTTTGGAAGGAGATTCATGTATTGTTGGAACCCGTTCGTAAATTACCCCAACTACAACTCCCAGCCCTGCGCGCTGGAATCAGCATGGAGATGTTGCAGGACCCACATTTTTCTCCAATCTCAAGGCATGCATGAGAGCTGGTAATCATATGGGGAATTGGGTATTATTTTTCTAATAGATAAAGTCAGTTGTCAAAATCGTGGCCTGTACCGATCGCGTCTCTTTAGGGTTTAGATCCTGACATTATATATCTCTGATTGCTGTACTTTTGTACTTATCTACCACTTCAAGATGACGTCTAATGTGTCTATGTAGCAATATATATATATATATATATATATATATATATGTTAAATTATCAAAAATTGGATCAGAAATGAGGAATAATCTAATCAAGGCAACATTTAAAACCCAACAAAACAATCATTCATCTCTCTCTCTCTCTCTCTCTCTCAAACACAACCATGCAGAAGTGAATCAGGTGAAGCTCTCTGTATCAAAATGTGCCACATGGAGAGCATACATGCATAATACAATAATATGCATCAGAAAAGGCCCTCTGTTCATATCTACTACTACAGTTGAATGATCAGAAATCATTTGTAAAGTATTTATCAGCTAAATTATTTAGTATACTAATTATTATTATTATTATTATTGCATTGCACATGTGGAAAGCACAAAGAAGCTTTTGTTTCAGTTGATATGACTAGTTTTATAACTCCAAATCCATAGGTGCATGCAGATTAAGATCATCAAATGTATCTTAATTACATGTTACTTTAGACTCTATTAATATTATAATTGTATACTTAAAAAAATTTATATTGAGATCTTTATGATTTTAAAAATAAAATAAATAATCTAATTTATCATATCATCGTTAGCTACGTTGATGAAAAATATAACACGTAACATCTCATGTTGAATCAATGTAAAAATGATGAGCAAAAAAATAATTTTAACATCTCTTTCCTTATCAGCACGTGGAATGTTAAAATTATCTTTTTATTCATAAAATTATTAGATACGAAAAAAATATTAAAATTATCCTTTTGTCCATCATTTTTGCTTTGATCTAACACATACTGTCACGTGTTATATTTTTCATCAATATAACTAATAATTTTATGATAAATAAGATTATTTATTTTATTTTTAAAATTATAAAAATCTTAATATAATTTTTTAAGTATAAAATTATGATACTAATATGATTAAGAAATAGAATATAATTTATAATTAGCAGGACATGAAAGAGGAGTTCGACTATTTGCCTCTTGCTCTCTGGCACATGAGAGGAGCAATAATAGGCGGTGCGGGTAGCTAAATGATTCACATAACGACAAAGAATTGTGTTTGACGACAAATTGGGTTGGGTTTGATATGGGCCCAAAGGACCGCAAATGTTGACCGAGTGATCGAATTGCATTCGTTTGGTTTAGACAAAATTAGGCTGTGTTGACATTCTTGCTGCATCAATCTCACCAACACAAAAAGCTGTCGGTGCTTACTTTCGCTGGCACTTTATTTTGGGATTCGACATGCAATTTATACTGATTCTGATAACAGTCAAATCTCTAGCGATAACAATAATAACCAATATCTCCCCAATTAAATAATAAAATATCATAATTCTCCTTCCAAACATATATTGTTTCGATCAATGCAATCTTCTTCTTTATATGTCATTGCTATCATGATATCAAAGCACCGTCTTGACAGAAATACCATCTTACGAGGGTATGATAACATCTCTCGTGATAATTACCTCAATAACAACAAAAATCATCATCTGTTAAGAAAAATTCTCCTTTCCAAATATATATAGAGTTTTATGTATTATTTCAATTAATATAATATTTTTCTTTATATTTCTATCAAATTTCACATACATATAAATTGCTGGTTAATAGAGAAAATTAACCAGTGATACATTCATCATGTCTCATATGCTACATTGCAAAGTAATGCTTTAGATGTACATATACAGATAGTTCTACTTGGAACTCCAAATCTCATCTTGAACTCATAATCAAAGTTTTAATTATATTAATAGACTAGAAATTCTCTAGTATGAAAGAAATGTACTATATAACTTAGGTTAGACACTCTCACCAACTCAACTTTTCTAGCTTTTGAGTGAGTTGAGTTGTCCATCCTAAAGCACTTTGCTTTGCATAACCAAATGCTGAGTTGCCTCCTCCCTTATACCTCGCCATCATCTTTGATGCTTATTTCTCGGCATGGAATAGTAGTATTATTATGTGCTTCCAAAAGGATTGACACGCCCTTTAATTAGGAAAAGTTTTTGGACCCATTCAACCTTTATCACATTAATATGCTTCCTCTAGCACAAAAAGACTTGATCGACGGCCATTCGATCAAAGTGTTCTTGAGTAGCTCCAATGGTCCTTGTGGTGCCTAATTATATCCTAGAAAATAGGGGCAAAACCATTGATGTAATTAATGTCTCCTTTTTGATTGGGTGGGGGGGCCAATGAGGGAAAGATAAAGAAGGGGCCGCATGACAGGTTAAAGTGTGATGTCCATCATTGCAAATAGGTGAAGCTTCGCCTGTCATCAAAATAGATAAGCATGGATGGATTCTTATATGGCATATGGTGTGAGCTTTACACTGTGGGGGAGAGTTGGAAAGCTGCCACTGCAACACAATATGTGATCACTCCGTGCGGAAAGACAAGTGTTAGGAGTGCACAAATCAACTAAGAGTGTAAACAAAATAGAATGTTAATTTTAATTTCAAAAATCATAAATGCAATTCATAAATAGGTCGATAATATTATGTCGACGAGGCACATTCGATTTGATAGAATAATTGATTCATTACTTAATAAATTTAAATTTATGTTAATTATATTATACTCATCATATTTTTATAAATCAAAGATTTGATAAGACAATAAGTCGATTTCTGAATCTAATTCTAATCGATTTATTTGATAATAAAATATTTTTCAAATAATTTGAGTTTGCGCGTCTTCAGAAAAATAAATATTTTTGATGAGATATATTTGGTCATATTAAAATTACAATATGAAGATATTTTTGATAAAAGTAATATAGTGAATTTTTTTTGTGTGCCTCATATGACAATTAAGGCTGAATTGTACATGTAAAGTGAAATCGGCAATAATAAGAAAAGGAATGAACAAATGGCATAAGATAGAGAGAGAGAGAGAGAGAGGGAAACACAAAAAGGAACGGTGATGATGATGAGAGGCGTGTCATGCAGAACCAGGCTTTTCAGCTGGGGCCCACGGTCCGGCTTAGAGAAGACCGGGGCCCGCTCGGCCCAAAGGCGCGCCGCACGGGCCCCACCTTGTATCTTTCCCCTTCCTCAGGCTCAGCCCATCTTTCCAACCACTTACCCGAGCCACTTCCGGTTCGGACTTCCCGAGCCTAGCTTTTTCAAAATTTTCGAACGTTGGAGCGTCAGAAGCCACATGTGAAGCCAACCGGGCGACGCTCGTCGGGTACTGTCAACATATAATATATAAATATATAGATAAATTGTATAAAAAATAATTCCCGTCCATATATAATTAAATTGAAAGCTTAAAAATTGGAAGAAAAAAATAAATGAAACGATTTTATGGGATTTAAAAATTAATTAATATACAGAGTAGAAGGTAATAATAAATTTAAATTTCGGTTTTTTTTTACATTATTATATATTTCCTTTTTACCACAGCGGGAGGACGCTCCGAAGCGGAAGCACCGCGATTTCACTTATTTGCCCTCGACTACTAATTTGTGATATATATACCCTTAAGAAGGGTGTGTTTGTAAGAATTGAATTCCGTTAAAGAAGACTTGATAGGTGGGAAATATAATAGATTGTCAAATATGAAATAGGGAAGGGTGGTTTTTGAAATTGTACCGGGAAGGCACAAACTGAAGTGTATTATAAAGAGGGAGCCCAAAGTAATCGGTCTCCCCCACGCCCCTCGCTCCTCCGCCTCCATCTCCTTCCTACTCCATTGGAGCCAGAAGTGATTTCTCCTGCGTCTTTCTTCCCCGATGATCCGGAGCTTAAAGGATATGTTGAACGAGATGAGATCGGGGAGCTCTTCTTGATCGTTCTTGCCGTCGGACGCTCTGTTGCGTGGGTGTCTTGGTGGGGATTTTGAGGAGGAGAGGGAGATCGGAAATGGCATCGGAGGGGATGGTCGCCGTATCGCTGGCTTCTGTAGTTGAGGATGTCCTGAAACAGCACGGGACCAAGCTCAGCGATGTCAACTTGGCTTCCAGGAAGGCCGGAGAAGCCGGTGAACGCTTGATCCTCTGCTTCTCCTTGTACCCGTTTCCGTTTTTGATCTCGAGTTCACGTGTTCCGCTAATTCTTAGAACATTTCCTTTCTTTTCCTTTTTCTTTTTGATGTCCTTTTCTGTTCCAATTTTTATATGCTGTTGTTCTTGATCGATGCATTTGACCGCTTTTTGTTGAACTGGGCTTTCTTTACCTCTTAATTTTATTTCAAGTTTTCATTGGGTCGATTACAGGAAAAAAGATTAGATTATGTGATAGTTATGCTCTTCGATTGAATGCCAGTGGCACGTAGATACGAGGCTGCCGGATGGCTGAGAAAGGCGGTGGGAGTTGTCGCTGCGAAAGATTTGCCTGATGAACCTTCAGAGGAAGAATTCAGGCTTGGATTGAGGAATGGTTTGATCCTTTGCAATGCACTGAACAAGATTCATCCTGGAGCAGTACCAAAAGTGAGTGTGCTTCGTATCACAGTGGCCAGGTTCTTGCCGTTTAGTGCGGTGTTTTTCCCTCTTTGTCATGTGTCTTCTAGTCTAACTACAATTGCTCTCTTCAGGTGGTGGTCAATCCTGGAGATACAGTTCAACAACCAGATGGAGCAGCGCTATCCGCATATCAGTATTTTGAGAACGTGAGGAACTTCCTTGTAGCTGTGCAAGAGATAGGTCTGCCCACCTTTGA